AGTACTTTGGCCACATCATGAGAAGACAGGAAAGCTTAGAGAAGACAATGAAGCTGGGGAAAGTGGAAGAAAAAAGGAAGAGGGGCCGACCAAGGGCAAGATGGATGGATGGCATCCTTGAAGGGACTGGACTGACCTTGAAGGAGCTGGGGGTGGTGATGGCCAACAGGGACCTCTGGCATGGACTGGTCCATGAGGTCATGAAGAGTCGGAAACAAATTAACAACAGCAGTCTGAGTGTTGAGCTAAAGAACCCCAGGAGACTAGGATTTGATTCCCCAAGTCATCCATGGAAATCCACTGAGTGCATGCTCATTCTCTCAGCCTCAGGCCCCTTGCACACAGCTGTATAAAATCCACATTGAGAGGGATTATATGGCAGTGTGTACTCAGATAACCCAGTTCAGAACAGATATTGGTATCATCTGCCTTGATATTCTAGTTTATATGGCTGTGAGGAAGGGCCCTCAGGGGAAGCCCTTTCTGAACAAGTTGTGCCATGATAGGTTCACCATAAGGCCAAAAAGACATCAACGCAAAGAACAACACAACAGCTCACCCACTAAGTGTGACTCACCTTACCTAAAGGGATGAGTGAATTGATTTACAGACCCAGATTGGTTGGAAGAACTTTGAGCTGCCTTATCCTGAATCAGAACACTTGTCCATTCTGCATTGTATTGCCTCTTCGATCAACCACGAAACCCTTGCCTTCTGGGCCGATTTCTCATCCCGATAATCCCTCCTGGTTTTCCACCCAAAGACTAGCTATAGGAGAGCTGATGCTGCGTGTTCTTTTCTACACTGGAAGATCTGACTCTCCTTCATTGTTAGCTTAATTATTCCACTTCCTCTCTCTCTGGGAAGATAAATGAAAGAACTCCATCCATAAAATTGCAAATCAGCCTCACTTAACCAGCTGCTCCAGTTGGCAAAACCAGGTGCTCTCCATCTTGTTATTTCTTTTTTTCCTTTTTTCAAAAAGAGTCTAGATCCCCCTGAAAAACAAATGGATCTCTGATGGCTACTTAAATGGCTACCTTTTCTCCTATTACCCTATGGCTTATCCCTCGGTGGCTCATAGAATTTCACATTATTGTCTATATCACCAACTTTTTGATCCTTTTGTTTACTGTCGCTGCTTGAAGGTTTGCACCAGGGAGGAGGGTTATTTCTCTTTTTAAAAAAACCAATAGAGAGGAAAATGATCTCTCTATTATCTTTTTCCTTGGCTCTAATGAGCGTCCGCTCCCTGCATATAAACAATCTGTTTATGCCTACGTCAGTTTCCTCTGTATCCGTTTTGATGAGACACGGTATTGCTCAACTATAGCAACAACAAAAAAAAAAAAGGTTTGAAAAGAAAGCTCCCAAAGTTTTGCTTAAGAGATGCTGCAAATGTGTGCGAGGTTTGGAACCATTTATTTATTTATTTATTTATTTATTTACATCATTTTTACCCCGCCCAAATAATAATAATAATAATACTTTATTTGTACCCCGCTACCATCTCCCCAAGGGACTCGGTGCGGCTTACATGAGGCCGAGCCCACAATACATCAGCAAAAACAACAACAGCAATACAAAACAATAAAATGAAACTCATAAACAAAAAACAAGCAGTAAACATTAACAATAGCACAACAACGCTTAAAAACCTATGGCTGGGCCAAATGTAATAATTAATTTTTTAAAAAAATAATGCTGAGCATGACCAGGTGAAATATATAACTAGGATAGAATTTCGGAGAGGAAAGGGCGTGCAGACAATCCTAGATCATTGATAAAGTGCATTGAGACATATTGCTGGGAGTTTCCTTATTCTGGGAAGGCACACTGGAACAACCATGTTTTCAGGCTCCTCCTAAAGACTGCCAGTTGGGGCATGCCTGATGTCCTTGGGGAGTGAGTTCCAGAGTCGAGGGGCCACCACCGAGAAGGCCCTCTCCCTCGTCCCCACCAATAGCACCTGCAATGGAGGTGGGAGCGTGAGCAGGGCCTCTCCAGATGATCGAAGAGATCGTGTGGGTTCGTATACAGAAATGCGGTCACGAAGGTAGACGGGTCCCAAACCGTTTAGGGCTTTGTAGGTAAGAACCTGCACCTTGAATTGGGACCGGAAAATGAACGGCAGCCAGCGGAGCTCCTTAAGCAGCCCAAGGGCAACTCAGGGCAGTGAACAATTGGCACAATTTGATGCCATATATAAAATACATACATCAATAAAATAAAACATGACATTGCAATGTATCTAAAAACATCAAAACAGTGAACAATAAAAATTTTAAAATGATGTCATGTTCAGTCCTGATCCGTTCCGTTGTCTTAGCCATTCCTAGGTTGTTTTCCAATTCAGGTTTTTCTGATTAAGCTGAGGCTCCAAAAGCTTGCTCGAAGAGGCAAGGTTAGGAGGGAGGGGGCCAATCTGATATCCCTGGGAAGGGAGTTCCACAGCCCGGGGGCCACCACAGAAAAGGCCCTGTCTCTTGTCCCCACCAGACGTGCTTGTGAAGCAGGCAGGATCGAGAGCAGGGCCTCCTCCAAAGATCTCAAGTCCCTGGTGGGTTCATAGGGAAAGATGCGTTTGGATAGATAAGCTTTAGGGCTTAATAGGATTTGGTAGCAAATGATCACATTCTACCAGTTTGTACTACACAATCCAGTCAGTGCTATCTTGACCTTTTACTGTGCATAATCACATCAAGATGAAAACCTTTGGAGAAGGTCCTTATCCCATAATGTTGTGTAAATATGTTCTTTATTTTATTTTCAGTGGAACAGGGTATCAGGCACTTTCAGAGAAAGAAGTAGACACACAGACTCCATGCTGGTTTTACAACATCAAGTATACCAGTGGTTCTCAACCTGTGGGTCCCCAGATGTTTTTGGCCTTCAACTTCCAGAAATCCTAACAGCTGCTAAACTGGCTGGGATTTCTGGGAATTGTAGGCCAAAAACATCTAGGGACCCCAGATTGAGAACCACTGATGTATACGCTAACCTTCACTCATAGTCCATTCATTCAATCATACATACTCACCACCCTTCTTCATTCAATTGATCAGATTTCTTGCGAGATAGTGGCGGGTGTTCAGACTCTTCATTTCTCACAGATCTGACACATTTTCCAAGAAGAAAAGAGTCTCCTTATGGAGAACTTTTGGTGTTGTTGTTTCTTAATTGTTTTGACAACTTGTCATTTGGCTAAGACTTGCTGAAGCTCCATCAATTCCAGAACAGATGTTGTTTTTCTTCCTTAACGTAAGAGGGAATTGTTTCTGACTTCCTTAACTTAAAGGGTCATTGCCTCTGACTATGTAAACATGTGTTGGTTACACTAAAAGTTGCCAGGTCAGTTATCGTCAGTTCAGCAGTTCTCATGCCACAATTAATGGATTTTCCATCAGCACTTTTCATACCAAAGTTAATCCAGTCTTCACTTCCTTGGTTTCTTTGTAATGCCATTCATCTTGATTTTGGGGTGGGGTCTTCAGTCTTGCCAGGCCTTAATAGACCTTTAGATAGACCCTAATCATACAATTCCATCCAATCCACTGAGCCCGTAGTGGCGCAGTGTGTTGCAACTCCGGGCAGTTTTCACCTTGCTCCAGACACCACCACACCAAGGCTGTAGGTTTTTGAAGTTTACTGAGAAAAGCATAATCAAAATAAAGAAATAGAAATGCAATAGTTCCATAGGCAAAACACAGACTTAAATATAAAACCAAAGCTCCCAAGATCCAAAGGCAAAAACATGAAGCATAAACCTTTAGCAATGGTCAAACAAAAGTCCATGGTAAAACAGTTGAAAACAAGACCCAAATCCCAGACTCAGGAAGCCAAAAGCATGCTGTGAAACACCAAGACAAATCCCAGAAGTTAAAATGGAAAGAGCAATATTGGACTGACAACAACTGCCTGTCAGCTACAAAACTAAATACCCTTTGTGAACATGAAAGCATTGCGTTGACCTTGGGCACCTTTGGCTTCTCGCTTGCTGGCCAAGCGAGTGCTTCTCCGAAGCCTTAATTGCAAACGATCTCGTCTGCTCATTAATTCATTATCAGCAAGGCTAGGCAACCCCTTATCTGGGTCCAGCTGGGACGGATCCTCCACCTGGCCATGTGGGATTTCACTCTCGCTATCAGTCTCTCTAACTGCAGGAACATTCATTTCCCCTGAAAACTGACTTGCTGTTTCTCCTTCAGCAGCCCCGTCTGAAACATGTACAGGAATCTGTAACCCATCAGCCTCCTCCTCATCCTGCAGGCCAAAGTCAGACTCAGAAGGCCCAAACAGCTCCGCTTCTGACTCAGAGTCAAGCCGAGTCACAACACAGTGGGTTAAACCTTTATGCCGGCAGAACTGCTCTCCCTGGTTCGAATCTAGGAAGAGCATGGATGAACTCCCTCTGTCAGCTCTAGCTCCTCATCTGGGGACATGAGAGAAGCCTCCCACAAGGATGGTAACACATCAAAAAACATCCGGGCATCCCCTGGGCAACGTCCTTACAGACTGCCAATTCTCTCACACTAGAAGCAACTTGCAGTTTCTCAAGTCGCTCCTGACACGACAAAAAAAATTCCAATCCACTCATCACATATAGGCAACAGGAAGAAGTATAGAATCAATTGTTTGATGGAGGAGTGGAGTAAATGTTGGTAATACAGCCAGTGAAGAGGTAAAATCTTCGGGGAAGAAAGAGTGTGTGTGTGTGTGTGTGTGTGTGTGTGTGTGTGTGTGTTTGTTGTTTTCTTCTTTAAAGGAAACATTTTGAACATTAGATGCAAATGTTTATTTCAGCTCAGTGATAATTTAGTCCTGAAAGAAATCTTTTTTCTTAAGGCTGTATTCTGAGACCTAGAGAATCATACCAACTTTCTTTTCTTTCCTCTGGTGGGTGCCTCCTCAAATGGAGCCCACATCAAAGATGCGTCTTTACCCAAACCCCTGTGGTCAACTGCGCCACAGTGATTTTGCCCATGTGCTTCTCTCCACAGCTTTGGCAGAGCCCCCTCTTCAAAGGTCCTGTGATGTGGCCATCTGTTTATCCACCCTCAGGAATTACTCTGATGGATCTGAAAAGCGATGACAACTGTGCTCGGCCCATCGCTGTGTCGGTGTGCTGCACGAAGGCAGGGAGACAGACGAGGCATTTACATATCGTAACGCAAACCCAGCAGTGAGTTAATTGAAGCCGGCAGAACAGAGCGAGGAATTGGCAAGCAGAAGATGCTTATCACCCACAATGCGCTCTCACAGAGGGACTGTTCAACTCTGGAAGAAGACTGTCGCAGGCCAGAGATTTCTCAGCTTTCAGGTTCCTCAAGGACTGGGGAGACTCAGGCATTTTGACCAAACTTTCTCTGAAATTGGCCCAAAAACAATCATAGAAAAACAATTTTTTGTCATAGCCCCTTCCCTCAAGGAAATCCGAGGATAACCCACCACATTTTCAGTCCCAGCAAATGGCATCTACCTTCTGCTCAAGGCAGAGTGCAGAATCTAGTTCTATTCTCCAAGAAGCTCTCCTGTTTCTCGCAGTAAAATCCAAAGCTGATCAATTAAATAACCAATAACAAAATTTGAAAAATGTCTTTTCCTGTTTTGAAAGTGTTACTTCTTCTTTAATTGTGTGGTACTTATTGTGGAAGTAGTTGTTCAACTCCAGAAACTTTGATTTTGTGGCTGCCACAAACTCTGTTGAATTGGTTGAGACTTGATGAGATCGTCATTGAAAAACATGCTATAGCAAGATGTATCACAAAAACAATTTTTTTGTCATTTAATAAACTTTTCCCATGTTTTTATAATAAATTAGGAGATGACATTTATAACCCAGGAACAAAAATTGTGTTATCTGCTGCCCTTTCAGGACACCTAAAATGTGCCACCTGAGACCTTCCTAATGAGGTAGTTCGAGGAATAAAGCTAGAGCAAGCAAAAACAGATTTCTTGTGATTTGACACATTGAGGATTTCAGTGTTGAGTTCAAAGCATGGGGAAAATTATCTTTTTTGATTAAACATGCAATGGAATGCTTGGTGGTCTCAAAAAATAACTTCTCCAAAGTTTCCTGATAATCTATTATTTGTTTCATAGCCCTAAAATGGTGTGGATTACTAATAATAATAATAATAATAATAATAATAATAATAATAATAATAACAACAACAACAACAACAACACTCCTGACCTCATGAACATGTTAAAAAACAAAGTATGGATTGTCAATGTCGCAATCCTGGGTGACAGCAGGATTGAAGAGAAATATCTGGAAAAGCTGACACGATATGAGGATTTAAAGATTGAACTGCAAAGAGTCTGGCACAAGCCAGTCAAGGGGGTCCCAGTGGTGATGGGCACACTGGGTGCAGTGCCTAAAGACCTTGGCCTGCACTTAAACACAATCAGCGCTGACAAAATTACCATCTGCCAGCTGCAGAAGGACACCTTACTGGGATCTGCACATATTATTCGCTGATACATCACACAGTCCTAGACACTTGGGAAATGTCCGACGTGAGATCCACTACAACAGCCAGCAGAGCAATCTTGTCTGCTGTGGACTCATCTTGTGGTGTTTCAAATAATAATAATACAGTCTATTTATAGTCCTTTCTATCTCCCCAAGGGGGACTCAGAACAGGTTATGGTATACACATATGTAGGCAAACATTCAATGCCTTTTATTCAGTGGACAATGACATACAATACACAAACAAAGGCAAAGGTTTCCATTTTTGTCTCCGGCATCTGGAAATGGTGCTCAGTTCTGGCCATGGGGAGGTGCTCTTGGTCTATTTCCATGCCAAGGAGCCTTGTTGACCATAGACACCTCCTGCTCATGTTTTGCCAGCATGGCTACCTGGGTACCTTTTACCTTCCTGCCAAGGCAGTACCTATTGATCAACTCACATTACATGTTTTCAAACTGCTGGATTGGCAGAAGCTAGGGCTAACAGTGGGAGCTCACCCCAACCCGCAGTTTCAAACTGCCAACCTTCTGGTCAGCAAGTTTTTCTGTTTAACCCGCTGTGCTACCACAGCCTGTTTTCAAATACAGCAAGAAGCAGGGGGTCCATGAATTACATGTGTGTTTTCTGCTTTCCTTAGTATTGCTTTTTAAATTGTGTTTCCGTATGTGCTTTTCCCTGAGGATTGAGTCGATGGAATTCGTTAAAAATTCAAAGAGATGATGATCCGCCTATTCACAAATTAGGCAACAAGGATGTAGTTTCCTGTATTCAAATGTTCTCTACTACTACTGTGTGATTACACACACACACGTGTGTGTGTGTGTGTGTGTGTGTGTGTGTGTGTGTGTGTGTGTGTGTATATATATATATATATATATATATATATATATATATATATATATATATAAAAATGCTCTGTGCATAATGAGTACCTTAAAACAAAAGAACGAAATCACACCAAATTTGGCAACAAAACATCTCACAACACAAGGAGTGACCATCACTCAAAAAATTACGATTTTGTCATTTGGGAGTTGTAGTTGCTGGGATTTATAGTTCACCTACAATCAAAGAGCATTCTGAACTCCATCAACAATGGAATTGAACCAAACTTGGCACACAGAACTCCCATGACCAACAGAAAATACTGGAAGGGTTTGGTGGGCATTGACCTTGAGTTTGGGAGTTGTAGTTCACTTATATCCAGAGAGCACTGTGGACTCAAACAATGATGGATTTGGACCAAACTTGGCACAAGTACTCAATGTGCCCAAATATGAACACAGATGGAGTTTAGGGGAAATAGACCTTGACATTTGAGAGTTGTAGTCACTGGGATTCACAGTTCACCTACAATCAAAGAGCATTCTGAACCCCACGGATTACAGAATCAGGCCAAACTTCCCACACACAACCCCCATGACCAACAGAAAATACTTAAGGCCATCCAGTCCAACTCCCTTCACCAGGGCAAGAAAATGTAACCAAAGTCCTCCTGACAAAGAGCCATCCAGCCATAGATAGATAGATAGATAGATAGATAGATAGATAGATAGATAGATAGATAGATAGATAGATAGATAGAAATAGATAAATATGATTCACACAGAGAGAGAGAGATAGTATCATAGATTTGAAAGGGACACTTAAAGAAGGACAATGATATGTTGCATGTTCCAGGGTGGGCAAACCAGACACTTTCCACATCAACACTGACAAAAAACAGCAAGAAATACTGTTTACCCACAAGCATAAAGACAATACATATATTAGAAACCAACACTTTCTCATTACTTTATTTTTCAGATCAACAGACTGGGCCACAGCAACGCGTGGCAGGGGATGGCTAGTGTGTATATATATATATATATATCCACAGAATTGCATGGAGGAAGGAAAACCTCCTCTTATGCCTACAGGATGAATGCTCCATGTGGACTGTAGACCCTGCATCATTTTCATTATTTATCCGTTGTAAACTTCAGAGCAGAAGTCAACCGACAAAAATAGTTCAACATAAAAGCATAACGACAAAATAAAACAACAGTAAAAAAAATTGCAGCCATAAGCAGTGATGGTTTATTACTTCCATCTCAGTTCTGGGAACTATCCAGGGTGCTGAACTCTATCCCCTAAATACATTCAGGTCTTTGGACACATTCTTCAAAGTATGTACTATTTAGCATCCCATTAACGTGAGAGCCGTTTGTCGTCACTGACAATAATTCATATTCCAGATTAAAATCAACTATAGAAAATATAAACTGTGCTGAGCATTATCAGTAAGATTAAGAATAACCAGGAAGGATAGTGATCCATAACCAAGAACCATAAGAAGAGTCGCCCATCGCTGTTAGCATCAAACAAGTGGAACAAATTGGCAGGCCCACAGTTCACTCAATTCCAGGCTGGATCTAACTGCCAAATAATGCAGTTTGAACTGGATTTTATGTGTCTACACTGCCATATAATGCAGTTCTATGTTGTTAATATTGGGCTGCAGTGGTTTTGTTTTTTGTTTTGTTTTTTGTCGTGTCAGGAGCGACTTGAGAAACTGCAAGTCACTTCTGGTGTGAGAGAATTGGCCGTCTGCAAGGACGTTGCCCAGAGGACAACCAGATGATTTGATGTTTTTATCATCCTTGTGGGAGGCTTTTCTCATGTCCCCGCATGAGGAGCTGGAGCTGATAGAGGGAGCTCATCCACCTCTCCCCAGATTTGAACCTGTGACCTGCCGGTCTTCAGTCTTACTGGCACAGGGGTTTAACCCACTGCACCACCGGGGGCTCCTGGCTGCAGTGGTGCATTTGGGTTAAACCCTTGTGCTGCTGAACTACTGACCTGAAAGTTGGGAGTTTGAATCCACAGGACGGGGTGAGCTTCTGCCATTAGCCCTAGCTCCTGCCAACCTAGCAGTTTGAAAACATGCAAATGCGAGTGGATCAATAGGTAACACCTCAGCGGGAAAGGCAAAAAGATGCTCCATGCTGGCCACATGACCAGGAGGTGTCTATGGACAACGCAGGCTTGGAAATGGCTTGGAAATGGAGTTGAGCACTTCACCCAGAGCCAGAGATGAGCATCGCCTTCAAACCCGGAAATGAAAGGGGAAGCCTTTGCCTTTGTCTGTGTTGTTTGTGTTTCATTGTATCTCACTGTAACAAGGCACTGAATATTTGCCTGTATCTGTTGATATGCTGTAATCCATTCTAAGTCCCCTAAGAAAGAAGGACGGAATATAAATTTATTTACAGTATTTATATTCCACCCTTCTCACCCCACAGGGGACTCAGGGCGAATTACAATGTACATATACATGGCAAACATTCAATGCCATAGACACACAACATATATAGACAGACACTCAGAAGCTATTTAACATTCCCGCTTCTGACCACCAGAGGAACTGTCGCTTCACCATCCATTTGTGACACTGATGAAGTACTTCCTCATTCTTTGCATATCTGCTGGAGATTTTTATGGCCTTGTAAATCAGCTAAATTAGCCTCCCTTCATAAGTTGTACCTAAATTTCCTACTTGACAGATGCAACTGTCTTTCAGGCTGGAAAGGTCAACAACAAGCTACACAATTTTGGTCGGAAGCTCACTCCAACCCGGGCTGGCTTCAAACTCATTACCTTTTGGTCAGTAGTGATCTTAATGCAGCTGACTCCCAGCCAGCTGCGCCATAGTCCCGGTGCAACAATTGTTGTTGTTTTGTTGTTGTTGTTGTTGTTATATAGCAGTGCAGATGAGGCCCCAGTCTTCCCCACTGTACCACAATGTATTGTGTGTCTTGCTTTTAAGGACAGCAGTTAGTTATGAATTTGCATATACAGATATAACTCAAATAGGCAAATTAAGT